ATTGTTTTTCACACATTTTTCTAACTTCTTCTTCAAACAAATGTTTAGCATTCTCTACTGTATCTTCGAGTTCTTCTTCATCTAATTTCTCATGAACTTTCTTGTCTATGGAGTCCATAATATCTTTGACATAAAATGCATACTTTACAGAGCACCATTCAGCAACAAAATGAACGAGGTCAGGATGTATGTAAATACCTTTGAATTCATTTATAACACCCTTAGTAAGCTCATAAAATGCTTGTTTTGAGGTTGAGCCACTTTTGGCTCGACCGTATTCGTTCATCCAAAACTCAAGAATTTCCTGCATTTTAGCACTATTGAGAAATCTGTTTAAATGGTTTAACCTTCCCGCTTCTCTTGCCATCTTTGTTGCATTAATGTAACCATCCTTGTCTCTACGTAAGACTTCAATACCATTATAAGTGCCTTTTGTGAATGTTTCGCCATTAGATTTGTTCGTGAACGTCTGTGCTTCGACTAACATTTCTGTTCTTACATACAAAATAAAAAAATAAAAATAATTTTAAAACTAACTTTATTTTTGGACTGCATCAAATTTCCGGGAATGTTGTCAAAATGTCATGTTGTCTCATTTTTTCAGAGAAGTTAAATAACCGAGTGACACCGAGTGACATAGTGACACCTTCAGTTCTTCAAAAATAATTAATTATTGAATGACCCGAAACCATTAACGTAAACATTAACGATAATAATTGATTTCCATGACTGTTGTCAAAATGTCATGTTGTCTCATTTTTTCAGAGAAGTTAAATAACCGAGTGACACCGAGTGACATAGTGACACCTTCAGTTCTTCAAAAATAATTAATTATTGAATGACCCGAAACCATTAACGTAAACATTAACGTAAACATTAACGTAAACATTTATTTCCGGGAATGTTGTCAAAATGTCATGTTGTCTCATTTTTTCAGAGAAGTTAAATAACCGAGTGACACCGAGTGACATAGTGACACCTTCAGTTCTTCAAAATAATTAATTATTGAATGACCCGAAACCATTAACGTAAACATTAACGTAAACATTAACGTAAACATTTATTTCCGGGAATGTTGTCAAAATGTCATGTTGTCTCATTTTTTCAGAGAAGTTAAATAACCGAGTGACACCGAGTGACATAGTGACACCTTCAGTTCTTCAAAAATAATTAATTATTGAATGACCCGAAACCATTAACGTAAACATTAACGTAAACATTAACGTAAACATTTATTTCTGCAGTTCATCCATTACTTCATTACCTAATTAATTACAAACATAAAATATATTTAGTTCATTCGGTAAGCCCAGACCTTTGGGTCAAGCACATTCATTGAACTCTATACCATGCGAATACAGTCATAAATGGTGGCATATAATCTTCACCCGAGCCTGTTGGATTTGTTGTGAAAGTGTGTGAATGATTTCCTCCTGGTTCAGTTTGTCGAAAAGTCTTTTTTGTTGAATCGTTATAAGATGGAGATAAAACGTCATTGCCAGCTTCATAGTCTGAGTTGTATAATGGGTGGTCTCTTAATGAGTGTCTATGGTCGCCAGAAAAGTTTGTAGTTCCCGTATGAGTGTGCGGTGGAAGGTTTGCTTCTTTAATTTTCTTCGAACCTCCTGTTTGCTTTGAAGAGTTAGCACAATAGAGGAAACGATCGGTTATTTGTTGCCATGTACCGAAACCGAATACATCAGCTGGATTTGTTGAATTCATTGACATATATAAAGAACCAATGGGGTAAATCATCTCAAGAATTGTATTTAATCCATTATGAATATTGAATTTATTATATAATATTGAATTTGGGTGAGTATTTAAAACTGGTCTTGTTATCAATATTAACGTATTATTTTTGAAAAATTGCTTTTCTAACATCTTGAAATTTTGTGATTTCAGACCAAGTTCTTCCATCACTATGATGTTTCTAAATCACCACATCCTAAAGCAATGAAATACCATCAATATAAAATAAATTTGTAAATCTATAATTTCGAGTAAGTTTTGGAGTGAATGAATAAACCAATTCCCAATTGATAAATCCTGTGATAAATAAATATGTCTGTTATAACTTACAGGATATGAATAGACCATTTCACCTGAAACGAGAACATAAACATTTGATCCATAACATAAAGCTTCAATGTCTCCATCAGCTTGAAAAATTTGTTCAAATTGACCTTGTGGTATTGAAGATGATCTATAAATTTTATCATTTTGTAGGATAAAATACATGTTGTTAATGTAATACCACTTACTCGTATAATCAATTTTCAAATCTGATGACATCATACTAAACATATAATAATTTATCCCATCCTCACTAATGAAAATTTGATTGACTTCATAAATTAGTACCCATTTATTATTAACGCATCTAATAGGATTATTTGGATATTTAAATTTAGCATCTTGATTTAAATTACATTTGAACCATTGGATACAATCGAATGAATAACAAGGGCAAAAATCATCTCCAACCGTTATCATTCCCATAAATTTACCGTTATTATATTCAACATATAAAATTCTTGGATTAATGATTGGCTTTCGTGTATCAGGATTCAAAACAGATGGAGTAAATGATTCATAGTTTTTAAAATCATTTGTTTTAAAATAATAAAGCACTCCATCTGTATAAAATAAATACATGGTCACTCCATCGAAACATATCCATTCAAAAGAATCTATATCAAAGGTTTTATCTGATGATTTCATAAAATTTAAAAATGGTGGAGTAAAATAGACCTCTGATTGTTTTATTTCTTCATTAACAAATGATATATCAGCTTTCTTCATTAACTCACTATCCACATACTCTTTATCTGCTTTCTTATTTAACTCATCGTTAACATATTCCTTATCCGCTTTAAGGTCTAAACATCCTGAAACCCATCCTGTATCAGCTTTAGTTTTTAAAATCTTTGATGTCCATTCATGATACCATTCAACCCTTTCTTTAATTTCATTATCTTTTTCATCAACATAAACCAAATTTGCCTTCTTCATTAACTCACTAGCCACATATTCCTTATCTGCTTTCTTCATTATGTCATTTAGGAAACCTTTTATGAATTCCTCATTTAAATTAAATCTTCCAATCTTCAAAACTTTAGGAAATGCATTTAATGCGTAATATCTTTGTTCTTCTGGTGGAATTGATGTTATATCATCCGTTATACCTTTAATTTTAGAATTCATAAATAAAATTTCTTTTATATTTGATATCACTGCACCACCTTTGCAAACGAATTCGAAATGGTCATTTTTCAATACTATCTCCAAATCTCCATATTTCAACCTTTGCGTTTGTTCTGCCGTCTTTGAATTATATGCATATGTGGCGTATGTAATGGTATGAAGGACCTGGGTGCTTTGCGCCTTAAGTTGTTGTGGTTGCTGTTGTTTTAATCATTTATTACAATTTAAAATAAATATTTAATCCATTATCTCATCAGCTATTTTTTCTATTTGAAATTGCCATAATATTTCATTCATAAATTCTAAATCACAATCAAATAGGTCAGTTATTCTAAATTTAATATTTGATAAATCTTTGAATGAAGAATAAATGAATTCCCGGATAATTGAAACGGATATGATAAAGAAAATGTGTTTAAGTTGATGGATAAAATGTTTTGTATTGACGGGTAAGAGTTAGGGTCTAATGTTTGATGTGAAAATCTCATTGGGGTATTAACTTTATCACATTTGATTAAAATGAAATTGGAACCAGTGTCAGAATACAAAACATCCCCAACATCTTTTTCAAAATTTAATATCCCCAACAATGAACGAAAATGAGGAGTACAAAATTTAATTTTCAGCGGGAATTTAATAAGGTTATTGATTTCATCAAGTTCAAAAAGTTTATCGGGTTTTGATTTAAAATTTTCTTCATACCATACGATAAATGATTCATTTAAATAACTTAAAATCATGTTAATATCCCATTTCGCTATCACATTATTTATATACATATCATACGTTTTTTCAAGGTCATCTTTAATAAATGATATATAATCTGAAGGGTCTAAAAGAATGGGATTAAATTTACCACTCACAGAAACGAGAGTAACATTATAAATTCCGCTAACTGTTAAATTTAATTCACAGTTATTATTCGAAATAATATTGATAATTGACATTTTTATTACGATTAAAAATATGGTAAAGCGTTATTTTCCAGTGATAAATAAAACTAGAATAAGATTACCTCAAGAATTCATAAATTCAACGAATAAGAAATTCATTCATGTTATAAATTTTAGTGTTTTCAGAAAATATGAGTCAATGTCATATTCATCAACAGGTTATATTTCACTTCATTCAAATTTAGTTCAATCAAACCCATATAATGACCATTTCATAAGATTTTCAGATGGTATTAAAAATGTAATTGATAGATTAAAATATGAACAGATTGACAATATCGAATTTTTGGAATTTTGGTTTAAATATCCTGATGGAAAAAAGATTGAAGTTAAAGATAAAGCTGATACTATAACAAAAACAATTACAATGACCGATCCGGATAGTGGGGAACAAAAAGAAATAAAACAAACGATAGAAACTGGTGAAAGGTCAATTATTATTGATTATGATTCAAAGGATTATTATTCGATAATGTTAATGCTTGAATATTAAATAGCCTTAACAAAGAATTTTTCAAGTGATATTTTATATTCATCAACTATTTTATTGTATATGTTATTATAAGTTAAATGTAGTTCAGTTGTTGTTCCATTCTTTGATATCTTAATTGTGCTAATATCCTTTATAGGATTTATTTTTGCAACTGTTCCGCAGCATGAAACCTCATCATCTATGAAAAATTGAATCTTAACGTCTGAATCTTGAACATCACAAAGAATGGCGATAATGTGAATTAATGATTCATAAGGTAAAATAATTAAACCGGATTGATCAATTAAATTTATTATTGAATCATAATTATCAGTTATTATATCACGGTAAATTTTCATTAATTCAGAATTAATGTCTACTTTATATGGGTTATCAAGTGGTGCTGGGTATGTTGGATATGTGGGGATTTCAACAGGTTCTTTACCGGGTTCAGATAAAATGATTGGGTCTCCATTCTCATGGTTTTCTTCATTCTCCTCATTCTTCGGTAAGTCACGAGTTAATAAATTTGGTTGAGTTGCTGACCTTGTTAATTCAGGACTAACATTAACTTTAACATTTTGAATAATTCGTGATTTATCATCATTTACGTTATAACCAACCGTAATCTCTGCTTTTGCGTTTGTGTTCTTTTGACTTGTGAAACGTCTTCTCATTTATAATTGAATAAAAAAAGAAAAATATATTTAAAGTTTTATTTAGTTGTTACGGTAATATCCCAAGGTTCATCCTTGTTTGCTTATACTTTCTTTGTAACTGCACCAATTATGTTATTGATAATGATTTGAGTTTCTCCCAGTCTTATTTTATCATTTACAATATCTTTAATCATTTCATTACATGCATTCTTAAAACCATCTGATTTTTCTAATTTACGTCTATCACTTTCTTTAATTAAATCAAAGTTATAACCTTGTTGAGAATAAAGTGGTTTCTTTATCAATTCCTTGAACGCTTCTGAAAGTGAAGATGAAGAAATTCTTGCCACTTGAATTGGTTTAAATTCTGCTTTCATTGCTTCTTTCTGTTCATTGAACACTGGATCGAATAAAGCAACTTTAAAGAATTTCTTAGCTGAAATTTCTGGTCTAATATTTGCATATTGACCATCAAACTGGTTAGAATATTGTGGTAATCCATCCGGTCCCTCTTCAATAGCATTTAATTCTTCATTGAAATAAGAATATGGATTATAACGGTATGAATTAATTGGACCATTTTCACCTTCTCCAATGTATTGTTTAACAGCTTTTCCATTTTCATCAAATTTCATAGGATAACGTTCATTATATGCTTTACGTTTAGGATAATCCGTCATTGTTAATTTATACCCATTTATGACTTTAATATTACCTTGACCATCAGTAACAAAGACTTCATTTATTCCATCAGGTTTTCCATTTGGACCCGTAATGTCTGCTTCGTGTGCTTCCCAATTTGGTCCATGACGTTTGGCATATGCTTGAGCTTCTGGTAATGTTAAAACATTTCTCATTTGTTTAACATCTTTTTGAAGACCGGCAACAATATGAACTAATTCTTTCATTCCATCAGGAACTTTCATAGTTCTATTATATGCACCCTTTTTGTTTGTTCCTTGTTTTAATGGAACCTGTAGAAGATTTGCTATTTCTGTCATGTTTAATTATAAATAAAAATAAAAATTAATTATAAAAAGTTAATCAAATTTAACACCTCCTTTATTTAAATCAACTATTATTTTTCCATGTTCTCCTAATTGTTGATATTGTGTGTAAAGTTCATTAATGCTCATTGGTAAATTCACTTGATAAAGCATAACGTTCAACTGTTGACGACTAAAACCACTGAAAATGAAAAGGGTGGACAGGTTTGATTTAATGTTTGTGTTTAATGCTTTAAAGTATTGAACAGCCATAAAGAATGAACATTGAATATGTCGACATTGAGTTAATAATTGATTAAAATATGATTTCTCATTAGTTATTAGTTTTGATTTCACGGCATCATCTAGAAAAATTAGTGAATGCAAAAATTCTTTATCAAAATTTGAAATAGAAAGTGTTTCAAATAATTCATCCCGTTGTTTATCAATAATTTTATCCTCTAATCCTTGCTTCTTGATTGTATTATATAATTCTTTATACATTAAAAAGTTTTTTAAATAATCTTCTGCTTCTTCTTGTGATAAATAAATAATTGGAATTTTGATTAAATGCTTTAAAGATTCAAATGTATCATCTGAAGGTGAACCTGAACGGTTGATATAAATTAACACATGTGAATGGGGGGAAATGTTAGCAATAATGATAATTTGTTTTAATATCGTTAATGTTTTACCTTTATTTTGTTTACCAATTGCTGCAGTGATTGAATTTAAGTAACATTCAGAATATGGAATTTTCATTAATTTTTCCTTAGATAGAGCATTTCTATTATCACTCAATGCTTCATTAATCATATCATCTACGTATGTATTATATACTCCTGCTAATTCTTCATAAGGGGTGGATGAATTTAAATCCATTTAATCAAAAATAAATTTATAATTTTAAACATTTCTATTCATCAATATTTCATCATATGAACTTCTATACTGGTGGTGTACCTGTTGGATGATATTTCAAACCTTCATCCGGTGTCCATGTCCAATATGTAGTCCTAGTAAACCAAACCTGAGGAGGATTTGTCACCTTTGAACAGTAAGTGTCATTTTCACCCTGAATGATTGGATAAGCTTTCACTTGTACTGTAACTTGTGAGTTGAAAGTTTCTAATCCATCAAAGAATATACCCGCTCCATCACGTTGAACTGGAATAGTGCATAAGAATGAAGTTTGGTCTTTCCATGTTCTAGCTAATGGCTTGCCATCATCTGCATTCAGTGGTCTAGTTAATGAGTCCTCGTATTCTTCTGTGCATTCATTCACTCCATCTAAATCAGAAGCTTGAAGCATACGTGTAAAGAATATGTCACCCACTGTGGTCATCGCTTGATCGGGGAAGTTTCTGGAATCTAAAGTGACCTGAAGACCTCGAAGCATTGGATTTTCTAAAACTGTTCTTTGCATTGCATTCTTCGGAAATGTTAACACAACATCTGTAACATTATGAAGAGCGTATGAGAAATCTGAGCTAATACCTTCAGGAGTGATGCAACCTCCATTTAGTGAACGAACGTCAATATGTTGAGCTGGAATCATGAATGGATCTTCCTTACTAAATAAACGTGGTATTGCTTTAACTGATTCTTCAATTAAACCGTATCCTGGTGTAATACATTTATCCTCTAAAACTTCCATCTTTGTGCATGAAATAATAACATCCTCAACTGTTGCGTCAGCAGATGTAGTGGCTAAGCTTGTAATTAATTTGGCAGGAAGTCCGATTTGTTGGAATTTGCGATCATATTTATAAACATGATTCATAATCTTTTCATAATTTTCATCAGTTATCTTTTCATAAACGTAATTTTGTAAATCAGCAACTCTTAACGGGTCAACCTGACAAAATACTAAAGTATCCCTGAAAACATAATATTTAAGAATGATATCACCAAATGATTTAGGATAATCATCGAACGCCTGAAATGCTAACAAATCATTTACCGGAATAATCATATCAAAAGTGACATCAACTTCTTCATTTGCTTTCTTGAAAACTTCTGAAGGGTCAATATATTTACCACATACTGAGTTATCATATTTTTGAACATTATTATATAACGAATGAACAAACTTTTTAACTTTCCTTTCTGATTTTGGTTTATATGTTGCAAATGCGAAAGATTCACGGGCGCAATCCATATGAAGATAACCGGCATCACCTCTTTCGGTTTCTACTTCTAATTGTTTAAAGCTTTGATTTGATGATTTGTAACCAACGAATAAACGCATGCATTTAAAAGCGGCATCACATGTGAAAGCTTTATTTGAAACTAGAGTTGCTTTAACTTTGCGTTTAATATATGTGTCACCTAATTGGTTCACATCATGAGCCGGATTTGTAATTCTTAAATGAGTTTGTTTATCATCAAAATATGGAGCATCAGAGTCATAGCATGAACTTTCAAGTTCTCTATAATATCTTCTACCGTCATTCTTTGCAAATATTTCATTTATCTTTTCGAATGAATGAAACACATTTCCATTAATCGGTTTGGTGTTTGGCACCAAATAGTTAGTCGTCATTTATTATTAAATAAAAAATCAAAATTAAAATATGAAAATGAATTTTTAATTTTAATGAAATAATCAACTATGGCTGCAGGATTCTTTAAAAAATTATGGGATAAAGTAAAAAGAGGAGCGAGTAAAGTTTGGGAAACAATGAAGAAAGGAGCAAATTGGATATTTAAGAATAAAGAAGCAATTAGTGACGTTGCTGAATCAATAACACCAAAAGCTGCCCCAATAAGAGAAATATTAAATAAAGGAGAAAAAGTTTATCAAAGACTTCAACCGATACTAAGATAAAAATAATATTTATTTATTTTTCCACTATCTACCTCCTATTTTATTAAGTATTCCTTCAGCAACTCCACCAATTGCGTTACCTGCTTGTGCTCCCATCGCCGGATTACCTGCTTTAGTACCTAATACCCCACCTATGATAGTTCCTGCCGTTTTCGCTACTGGTGCCAAAAAGTTTGCAACAGGTTTAATAACCTTTTTATAAACCCAACCTGCAGCTTTCTTAATTCCATCCCATAATTTTTTAAAGAATCCTGCCGCCATTTCTGATTTAATATTAATTAAAAAATATATTTCATCACTTATATTCTAATTTTTATTTAATGATAAATGAAACCAATTTTAAAAATAAATGAAACAGAGGAGGAAGAAATAAATGAAAGTGAAAATGTTCAACAAAAAATAAACGTTGTTAAACCAATTACTGAAATAAAAAATTTTTCATCTGTTGAAGAATTTAATGACTATTATGCTAACAATAAAAAATTATTTGAAGAATTGACAACGTGTAAATTGAATAAAATGTTTAAAGTTGATGGATTCAAAATTTCAAAAATAAAAGGAGTGGTTAGTTTGAAATCTATTCCTCAATCAAGAATCACATCATTAATGAAAATAGATGATTTAACAAAAAGAATAGAAGAGATTGAAGAAAGAATGAATCAAATAATTGATTTCATAAATTCAAATAATCATTAGTTTCTAATTTTTTACCCGTTTATGAGGTCTTTGATTATGACTCCATTGATTCCATGAAATTAAATATTCTTTATCATTATATTTATACCTCATTAGCTTATTTTGGCTTTCATATTCATTTAATAATTCACAATCTTCATTTTTAAATTGAAGTTTAACCCATTCAGGATTTAAACAATGTTTAATTAATCGCGGAATATCTGACATCATCTATATATAGCTTCTTTTATAAAAGATGAAAAAATAAATTATTTTAAAATTAATGTTAATTTTTTAATGTGTTTAGTATATAATATTTATTTTATTTTTTTTTATTTCATTATGTATGGGTTGAGTGTATAATATTTATTACTAATTTATTTAATAATGTCGCGCTTTCTTACGAATTCATGACTTAAAAAACGTAAGAAAAAATTTTATATCATCTATGTATAGAGGCTGGGAAAACATACCTTCATCTATATATAGATGTAACAAAAAAAGTCACACAACCCGTCCACATATAC